ATTTTCCATAGTTTTATTAATAAAACTATAAAAAATATTGTGATTTTTAAAAGTTTGCTTAGTTAATCTCTTTTTAGCTTCTAAATAAAGTTGTATAATAGTATCTTGCGATCAAAATGGCAGTTAAAACGTTAAATTCGGTCTAGTAGATCGCGAGATACAAGTATTTTAGTCTTCACGACTATATGCTTTCTTCTTTACAATATTTATATAAAGAAAACATATAATCGAGAAGACAAAAATACTTACTTCTCACGATCTATTAGGCCGATTTTAACATTTTAACCGCTATTTTGATCGCAAGATACTCCTCTACAACTTTTATTAGAAGTTGAAAAAAGATTTACTTAGTAAAGAAAAAAAGGTTTACTAAGTAAAAAAAAAAGTTACTTAGTAAAAAAAAAAAAAAAAAAAGGTTTGGTTGAAAGTTCCAAATTCAGAAATTTTATTATATTTTGGCATTGAATCTAAACTGAACATAAACTTGGTTTAAAAGTTCAATGCTGAACCTGAACTGAATATGAACTTGATTTAAAAGTTCAATACTGAACCTGAACTAAACATGAACTTGACTTAAAAGTTCAATATTGAACATAATTGAACTAAACCTAAACCTGAACTTGACCAAAGTTCGGTTCATAGGAACACTAATTTATAGGAACTAGGGATGAGTTCTACTATGAACTCATCCTTATAGAGGATGTCTAAAGCAGAGTAGATTATATTTATTAAATTAGAATTATTTTATATTAAAGATAAATTAGGTTTTAAATACAGTATATAATTATTTATAAACAAAATTGCTTTTTTAATATTTTTAATTAACTTACCCAAGATAGATTTAGACTACTATTTTTAGTATTTCTAGGTTTTTTGCTTTTATTTTTTGTTTTGCTTTACCGGAAATCATCAAATTCTATAATTTGATTGGCTATATTTTTATATGATTTTGCTTTGCTTTAAATAATCTTATTTATAGAAAATTGACAATATCTCAAAAAAAAACAACTCTTATTTGGAAATAATGCATATAGGTGTATTTAAATAATATACAAATCAATTAATTAATACACAGATAATACTTATATAATACAAACTTCTAAAAGATTCGATTTAATATTTATTAATATGTTTAGATATACTATAACAAGCATATATTATATATAATTTATATAACTTATTAATTTAGATAATATTTTTAAGGATGTAGTGATTTAGTGAAGTGGTGGAGTTGCCGCACCCCCAAACGGCAGGTCTAGAGTTCGAATTTCACGGACGACGATTTTGAAAAAACTAGATTTGTATCGGTTAACGTTAAGATTATCGGTTGGATCCAGATATCTGTAATTAGAGCTTCAGATTTATATTCGTTATTCGAATAATATTCGTATTCGGCAAATATTCGAATAAAGTTTTCTAAATAATTATTCGATGAATAATTCGAATATTTGAATAATTCATTATATTCGAATAATTCGAATAATTTATTGTATTCGAACAATCCATCATATTCGAATTATTCGAATAATTCATCATATTCGAATAATTTATTATATTCGAATAATTCATTATATTCGAATAATATATTTATAAAACCAAATTAAATCTATCTATTTACATGTAAAATCGTACGATACCAAGGCCGATAGTATACGTAATATATAATTATATAAACTTTTATCGATATCTTAACCTGTAAAATTGCATTAGCATTAATGTCTAATGCAAAATTTTTATGTACAGTACGTGCCCATTGATATTAGTACTGTAGTAACAATAATTCGTGTAACAATTAAATATGCATCGTTTATTTTAGTTTGCATAAAAATATGTCATCAATTTTTATCAATTGAACTTTAATAAAATTATATAAAAAGGTTAGCGCTCATATGTAAAATTAGATTCTCCTTCCAAATAAATAATGCAAACCATGTAAAAAACCGTAAAGAAAAAATGTGCATGTGGAAGTAGTAAAGGTGTTGTTAATATTGGCTAGAAAAAAAAAAAAAAATAAAAAAAATTAAAAAAAGAAATCTTAACTATGTTGTGTGTTCATAGGGTAAGACCCATCAGCACATACCATTCAGATTGAATTCATCAAGATATTCAATAATCCAAGACAATATTAATTGTAACGATAATCAGTTCAATAGCAGTAATGCTTAATAATCTGAATCATACATTGGCATTAGCAATAATTCCTAAATAGGCTTTTCATCAAGTCTTTATCAAGCCTTCGTCAGGTTTTCATCAAGCTTTAACATTAAAATTTTTTTTACATGTGGTAATTTAAATAGAAAATAACAATCTAAGGTGCTTTACACGGGTCAGAAACTTTAAGTAGAATATGTGCAATCTTATATTAGTAATTTAGCACACTTAGTCGCTAAATAATTCAAAAAAAATCACTTTATACTGTATAATCGGGTACTTGAAATAGCATGTGTCTATAATATAAGGCAATTCAGTATACTTAAATAAAAAAAAAAAAATCAAAATTCTATTATTTTTAGAAGGTTCATTGTAAGCTTTTTTTTTTTTTAAAAAAAAAAAATGGCACGTACAAGTAACAAAAACAAAGACAAAAGCAAAGGTAAAAGCAATGACAATAATTCTCAAAAACGTGTGCGTATAGAAGATAACAATACTAACGATCAAGAGCAAGAAACTCACATTAATGCTGAGAGTTCAAACAGTGAAAGCGGAAGTCATGTATGGCATCACTTCGAAGTTTTGCAAGATAAAATTTATGCTGAATGCAAGATATGTAGGATAAAAGGAAAGAGTGTGAAGTACAAATTTCATGGCACTACAAGTAATATGATATACCATTTATATAACGAACATGGGATTACGAAAGATAATCAAACGGGTTATGTAAGTTTTTTTTTTTAATTTGACTATATTTAATTATTATATAATAAAAAAATTAATAAATTTAGATCGAGGATGGAAATATTGAAGCTTTTATGAAAGTTGCTCGTGAAAAGATTTCTCCTAGAAGACAGCTAGAAATTGAAACTGCTATGATGACTTGGATGATTGATGATTGTCAACCATTTTATCTTTTGCGAAATGAATCGTTTAAAACATTTATGAAAATAGCAGTTCCTGGTTTTAAACTTCCTGGTGATGATAAAGCACGACATATTATAAATGATGCATTCACTCAATCGACTGATCAACTTACCAAAACATTGCAAGATATTCGTTCTGTCTGTATTACCACAGATTTATGGTCATCACGTAATGATGAACCATATATTGGTATTACGGCTGGATGGTTAGATTCTAAAGATTGGACACTAAAAGAGGGATTATTAGCTTGTGAAAAAATCCAAGGAAGGCATACTGGTAAAAATATTAAAAATACTATAACTCAAATTATAGACCGGTTTCAACTAAAGCAAAAATTATTCGCCGCTACTACAGATAATGGAGCGAATGTTGTAAAAGCAATTCGATTAATGGAAATTTCACATGTGCCATGTTCAGCGCATACTTTACATCTTAGTGTATCAAAAGGTCTTAATGCAGCTAAAGCATTTAAAAAGCGTGTAACTAATCTTATTTTACACTTTAATGGTAGCCCTAAGCAAACTGAAAACCTTAAAGACGCGCAACGTAAATTAAACTATTTAACAGTTTATGAAGTTCTTTTAGATGTTAAAACAAGGTAGAATTCTACCTATCTTGCCTGGAAACGTTTGCTTGAACTAAAAAATGCTATAATCTATCTTGGTACGGTCTTAAAAATTTCTTCAGAAAAAAGTGATAAAGAGGATGCTGAATATTTAGAACGAATTAATTTGACAAATTCAGAATGGAGGTAAATTTTTAGTTATCTAATTATAGTATTAGAAAAATTTTATAATTAACAAAAAAATTAGCAAAGAATTCAAAAAAAGTAATTATAAAAAAAAACGTACAGTCAACTCTGGATATAACGAACCTCTCTGTAATGAACACCGGATACTGTATAATGAAATAAAAATTTTTAAATTTTAATATTAGTTCGATATAAAAAAAAATTTTTTTTTTAAGACAAACATAGTAAACATTATATAGCGAACTGATTTTATTCAGAATTTAGGGTTCGTTATAGAGAGAGTTGACTAGATTCGTTACGTGTCATAAAATATATAAAACAATTGTATAAATAAAAATATTTGCAAATATATATTTAATTTAATTATATATAATATTTAGTAACTAAATTGCATCGATTATTATAGTCTACTTTCCGACGTATTAGCTTTGTTAGCTCCTTTTTATGAAGCAACCAAAATGTTATCGGGCGTTACGTATGCTACTCTTAATATGGTCTGTCATACAATGCACTACCTTAAAAAAACTGTAGCTCCACCCGAAGACGAAGATGATGAATATTACACAAATTTATTAAATGACGAATTAGATGAAGTTGCAAGCCAAGATGAAGATACCGATGATGAAGTTACAACTAGCAATCAACGATTACAATTCAAGAACCATCGTGCTATAAGTTTACCTAATTCTACTATAGATGTTTTAGAGAAGATCAAAGCTACTATCTACTTAAGTATGTGTCAATATTGGGATTGTCCAAAAGAGACTACTTTACTTTCAGCATTGTTAGATCCTCGATACAAAAAGCTTAAATTTGCAACAGAAGCTTAACGTAATATGGCAATTGATAAACTAAACGAATTGTATCGAATTGAGCAAGCTGCTATTATTGAAGAATCAAATGATGATTTATATGTCAGCTCATCTGGATCATTAGTTACAAATGAACCTTCAAGTACTAGTACTAATCAAGTTAATTATTCTTTGCTCGGAATATATGAAGATTCAGATGATGAAAGTAGTATTTCTGATGAAGTTGCTCGATACTTAGCTTTACCAAAAGTATCTCCGAATCGTAATGTACTAGAATGGTGGAAAGGTCATGTTAATGTTTTGCCAGTTTTGTCTAGATTGGCAATGAAGTATTTAGCAATTCCTGCTACATCCGTACCAAGCGAAAGGCTGTTTTCTGATGCTGGTCTCCATTTATCTGCTCGTCGTACTTGCTTAAAACCCGAGTTATTGGCATCTATGCTATTTCTGAAAAGAAATATGAAACTGTTCGATGTTTTTGATAAAGAAGAAAACTGATTATTATTAGAATTAATGTAATAACGAAGCTAGTTAAAAGATTTTAGCATACATTGTGTAAGGATAAGAATCATTTTAAATAAATTTTCTGCGCTTTATCAAATTTATATAAAAATCGTGAACCAGATAACAATCAGGTGATTGTTCAAGTGATTGTACGGGTATCACGGCTAGAGGAAGAGACTTATATCTTTATTAATAATTAAAACTATTAGAACTAACCGTAACCGTTACATTCTTAGAAGCGATACTCTATATACTTTCTATAACAAATGCCCAATACATATATGACGTAAGAGGAAGATGAGAGTTATGTAATATTTACAAAGAAAGTAATAATGGGAAGAATGATGAAATAATATTGTTAAAAATAAAAAGGAAATGAAGTAATATCAGCGTTGACCGGGAGCTGACATAATGATGACCTAATCGGCCTTTACCTGTTACGGGATAACAAATTTTCTTGCAACAACAGATGTGCAACGATCTATAAATTTGTAAATAGCGATAAATTATTTCTTAAAAATAAATAATCTTGGGAGTATAGATGCAGAAATATGATCGATAACGTAATATTTTTATAGTGCTCGCAGTCGTAACTCAAGACATAACTTCGGATATGTGCCATAACAAATATGAAGTATCAAGCCGATATTTTTTTGAAATAATGAATTTGTTAATAACTTACGATATAACGGATTTTTTTAAAATTTTTACCAATAGAATGTGTCACTTCACTAAAATGAGAGTGACTTATATACAATATATTATATAATGTAAATTCTCGAAAAAAATTAACTTTTCCTTTACTACAGAATTTATCATAAATTGGTTTTATTTATTCGATGCATTTACATTACATTCTTTAAGTTCTCTTAAGATTGATTAAAATTTGAAAACAATGATTAAGGTAGCAACTCAATGAGACGATCCATTGGGGTATAGCTGAACTTTATGACTTAAATTTCTAATTCAACAATTAAACAGTATCGACCAGAACCTCAAGATTAAAAATCCATACTAACATCGTCTTTAATAATAGTATCTGCAATATCAGTTAAAAATTCAAATTGTATGATTACTCTATCTTGAAAACCGGGATCCTGAAGATTTCAATATCTTTTAAATATATTAGTTTGAACATACATCATCGTTATCAGTGCTTCCACTTATTTCTTCCTCATCTCATCCATCATATCATCATTGTCGCAACTCAGTATCGAAATACTTCAATTTGTTGACTTTTTTTTTTTTTAAGAAAAAAAAAAAATCTATTTTAAATTTTTTCGTACAATTTATTTCTTATTTATTAGGAGAGTTAAATTACGCTATCAAAGTTAAATTACATATATCACGCTTAAGTTACGTATGTCATATCCTGCATCACGTCCATTATCAGAGTTATGACCAAAAATTTAGTTACGACAAATGTCGGCTATTACAGCATACGTTGTTATGACACTTTTGACGTAACCGCTTATCTTTTTGACACAACCATATGTCCTCAAGTTTCTGCATCTATACATGTTAGTTCAAAATTCTTGGACAATTTGAGTAAATTTAAAATTCATTTCAACTTAACTATTTGGGACAAGTTGATTTAAATATATTTTATTCCGGTATACAATGTTTACATTAGCGCAATTTTAAATTTATTGTTGGATAAATCATATATTAATTATTCGAATAACTATATATATTCGAATAATTATAATTATTCGAATATATATAATTATTCGAATAATTACATATATTCGAATAATTCTAATTATTCGATTATTCGAATATTTGGCGAATATTAGTCATTCGGCGAATATTCGACTAGATATTTGCTAACCCTAAGTTATTCGAATATTATTCGAATAAAGATCCGTAAGCTCTATCTGTAATCTTGGTCACACTATCTTGAATGGGAGCTTTGGCGCAATAAATCCAGGAAACCGGAATTACCAAAACCCGTTTGGCAAGTCCCAAGTTGGGAGTAGCAGTAATCTTTGATGGTGCTACAGGAAGACTGAATTTGGAACCAGAAACTAAAACCGGAGAACTGAGCGACCAGGTCCTTAAGTAGGGGAACACACCAGCTGAACCACCGGGTCACCAAAACCAGAGGAAAAGGACATGTGCTCCAGAAGCATGTACCAAGGGAAGGGAGACTATAAGGCATCTAAAGCCTAAGTAAACTGACCCTTCCAGGTTGCTAGCTAGAAGTAAAAGAGAGACTGGTAAAGAATCCAAGGAAGAAGAAAAGTCTGAATGTGAGTACTAGGATCATATGAATCCTATAAGAGCAAGGAGTACGTAATGGGCAACTAATTAGAAAGGTTGTAGTTTGAGTAGCTGTGGAATAGTAGCATCCTAAAAGATGGTGTGAGATATGAACACAGTGTAGCAGCATAGCATATACTAGTTAGAAAGAAGTTACTAAACAGACAGGTAATATATGTGTGGAATATGGACCACTTTGTTAGGTTTGTCTCGAGGATAATTGGACCTAAAGTAGGGTGCTAAATCTAAATTAGATAGATAGCAAAATCCACATATATATGGTGAGCTAATATCCAGGGTTAGATGATACAAGATATGCAGTTGTAACCAGAGAGTTTAAATAGGTATCTTCTATAGTCAGGGTGCAGGTATAGCAGATAGTGTAGAACCTTCAGGCAGACTACTTAAATTAGGTATCAAAAGTGCACCTGTGGCTTGATGTACTCTTATTGTAATTGTAATCATATCTGTTCATTTAATAAAATATCACTATGCTAAAGAGGCTACCTTAATACCAAAAAATATATATATATATAAAATTATAATAAAAAATATATAAAATTACTATAAACTTTGCAGCTTTAATATTTTTTGATTTACATATAACTTAAAATTAAATTCCGTGATTATATAGAATATAAAATTTTTTGCTCTAACTAGTAAGTTATAGTTTTGTCATTTTTGTATATTTTAAAAATATAACTTTATCAAAAATAAAATCTTACTAATTTTAAAGTGATAAATATATATAAAAACATGCTTTGAACAACTTTACTTAGAAGATAAAAATAGATTATCTTGATAGAAAAACAAATTAGCTATATGTTAAAGTTAAAAATTCTAGTTTTTCTATATGCAACTTTTTTTTTCACTTATATAACCTGCCTTTATCTTTTAAGTAAAGTTGTTTAGCATAAAGTTTTATATTTTTAAATTGTTTTGTTCATTTTTACAAACCTTTTACTAAGTGCATAATAGGGTTAAAGTTAGAAAAAAATTTTTTTTTTAAAATAATTTTTAAAAAAAAAATTTTTTTTTAACTTTAACCCTATTTTGCACTTAGTAAAAAGTTTGCAAAAACAAATAAAAATACTTTAAAAGTATAAAACATTATGCTAAACAACTTTACTTAAAAGATGAAGGCAGGTTACATAAGTTAAAAAAAAGGTTATACATAAAAAAACTAAAATTTTTAACTTTAATACATAGCTAACTTGTTTTTCTATCAAGGTAACTCACTTTTATCTTCTAAATAAAGTTGTTTAGAGCATACTTTTACATATATTTATTACTTTAAAATTGGTAAAATTTTATTTTTAGTAAAGTTATATTTTTAAAATATGCAAAGATAACAAAGTTGTAACTTGCTAGTTAAAGCAAAAAATTTCTTCTTTTCATGTTTTATATAATTGCAAAATTTAATTTTAAGTTAATATATAAATCAAAAAACATCAAAGCTGCAAAGTTTATAGTAATTTTATATATTTTTTATTAAGATAGATATATCTAATTTGATGAAGTTCCTAATTTGATACATGATGATATCTTGTGAACTGTTGATTAGAATCATATGATTTTGGTATTATTCAATTTGTCTCATTGAGATGAATTGAATGATACCAAAATTATTTAGTTCTGATTAATAGTTCTCGAGATACTTTATTTAACCAAAATAGTCCAAAGTAGATATAGATAAATGTTTATGATAAATATTATATGATGTATCAATCAGATTTACAAGATTTTGGTGCCATTTGATTCATTCTATCGAGACAAATTAGAAAGTACCAAAATCCCATGAATCTGATCGATATATCATATAGTATTTATTGTAAATATTTACCTGTATCAAATCAATACTATATCAAATTAGAACTATTTTTTTTAAACCAAACTTTGATAAATAATATCTCGTGAGCTAGTAATTAGAATTTGATGATTTTAGTATTATTCAATTCATCTCAATAAGACAAATCGAATGGTACTAAAATCATCTAGTTCTGATTGGTATGTCATGTGATATTTGTCATAAACTTTACCTGCATCAAAATAGAGATACTTATCTTATATGAAAAATTTATATATAATAAGGGTGTAGTGGCTTAGTAAAGTGGTCTAGTCATCATCTTACCAAGCAGCAGGTCTAGAGTTTGAATCTCATGGATGACATTTTTTAAAAAATAAATCTGCATTAAGTAATGATCATTCATCAATTAGTTGGATCTATAATCTATAATCTTGGTTATACTATCTCGTTATAGAAGCTTCGGCACAGAAATGCCAAAAAACTAGGATAATAGAAACCTATTTGGGAAGACCTAAGTAAGGAGATAGCAATACTTTTAACGGTGCTACAAGAAGGCTAAATTTGGAAGTAATAGCCAAAATTGGAGAACCGAACAACAACAAAATCCTTAAGTGGGAGGATCCACCAATCTGACTACCAATTTGAGAGAAGCGAAGCACACCAACCTAGTTAGGCAGCATGGGAAATCAGGGTAACTATCTACCATAACTAGAATTTGGAAGTTAGATTCTACCTAATAACAAGAACTGGGTGATTTCTGGAAACTAGCCAAACCCAATTAGAGAAAAAGGACATGTGCTATAAAATTATATACTACAAAGAGAAGAGACATAAAACACCTAGAGCCTAGCCAGAGTCAAATTTTCTGGGTTATAAGTTGGAAGTAAGGAAGGAACTAATAAGATAATTACAGAAAAAAAAAGACCTGAATGTGAGTACTGAAGTTGAAGTGAATCTTACAAGGGCATAGTAGTTTAATTGGATTATACCAAACTGTGAGTGGGAGCCTTGACAACTGTGATGACTAGGTCAGCTGGATAGAAATATGAAAGGCTTTAGTAGATTTACCTTGAGGATAGCCATGTATCCACTCAACAGAGAAATACAAGCCAGTAATTAGTAGATGCAAACTCTCGATAAAATATCCTAATACAGAGTGTGAAATCTGTTAGGGACAACTAGATAGAAATTCTAAGATTAGTCGGGAGATACCTACAAATAGTTATGACTAGAAGGGTTAAATAGGCAACTCTCTAGGTGGGTTACAGGTACAGCAGCTAGTGTAGAATATACAAGCAGACTACTTAAATAGGTACTTAAAAGATGCACATGTGGCTAGTTATAACTTTGTTGTAACTATATAAGTATTTGACAACTAATAAAAAGCACTTCATGGTTAAAAAGGTCATCTTAATACTGAAAAAAAAAAAAAATTTATATATGATATATTATATGACTAATATATACTTATCACATAAAACCTCTTTCTTATCTAATTACTTTTTACTTTCTTTTAAAAATTACTTCAATCTTTAAAACACTCTTCTTAAATTTAACTACTCAATATTTACAAATATACTATCTTTACAAACCTGTAAATTTTTTTAAATTAATTTTTATATCAAACTCTTCTCTTATTCTAGAATATGCTTTAATCTTTATTAAAATTGCTTCTTTAAACATTAATAGTCTTACTTATTTCAACAAAAAACTTGTAATTTCAGAAGCTTTTAATAATAATTTTTTTAAAATCTTAGATTTTTCTAAAATACATCTCTCAATCAAAGAAAAAAAATTCTTTAATAACCAAATTCCAAATTATACCAGTTTCTGGAGTTCTTATTCTTTACTATATCAAGCAGATATCAGTATTCTTATTTATTATAAAATTGCAAAACATATTGCTTGCTTATATAATTACAAAAGCTATATTATTGGCCTAAATCTTTATTTTAAAAACTTAGCAATATGTTTTTTACAAATATATATTCCAACTTAAAAAAAAAACAAATTTATAAAAATATTCAAGAACATATTATTAATCTCTTTCAAAATCTCAACTACAAATTAAAAATTATAAATAACTTTGATAGTATTCTAAATTCAAAACTTGATTGTTTTTTTTTCTAAAAAATCTTTTATACCAGAATCACAACTTATTAAATACCTTCAAAATTAATAATACAAAGACATTTACTGCTTTTTCTTTTCTAATACCCAAAACTATACTTTTAAAAAAGCCAATATTCAAAGTAAGATTGATTAGATCTGGACCAACCTATCTATTTCTAATATTAAATATATTATTATTCTTGCAAACATATTGCAAGAATCTGATTACAATATAATAACTTTAAAAATAACTATAATTCTTAGCAAAACCAAACCATCTAAACAACAAAAAAAAAAATATTTTCTTTGAAAGAACTACTTAAAAGAAACTATCTATAATTATGCATTTCAAACCTTATATAACTAGTGTTTTTAGATTTAGTTTAGTTTATTTTAGATTTAATAAATCTAAACTGA